AATGAGAGGGATATTTTCCATTGTGTTATTATAGCTCCTCAGTGGCTTCTCCTCTGTTTGTTGAGGCCAGGAGCCCTGAACCTGGACAGCTGTGGTCACCTCTAGTTTATAAAGCTCCTCTGTCTCTGTCCTCTGCCTCCAACCTCAGTTTGTCTAAAGTGTTTACACTTCCACTGGGGGTTGAAAGGGAGAAAGGAAGTGCAGGAAAGTTAAGGAGGGCAAAGACTTAAAAGGGGGGAGGAGAAATGTAGGATGAAGAAGAGACGAGATTAGTGGCAGATGGGGGAGATGGAGAAGAAGAAGAGGAGGGGTTGAAAGGAAAATGGAAAAGGACAATTATAGGGGGTGTTAGAGTATGCAGGAGGGAGATGGAGTGGGTGATATGCACGCTCTGGTGTTACTGGGGGTGGAAAAAGGACAGCAAGTGGTGGCAGATCATCCCCCCCCCCAAAAAAAAAAATAAATTCTGTCTCAAGTCGTTTAGTTCCACCTCAAACCTTCCTACCCAACCAGCTCTTTCTTTCCCCACCTTATCTTTTTTGGAGCCTGCAGGCACCACAGTATATCTTGGAGGTAATATCGTGACTTCAGGGGTGGTTTGACAGATTGACCGCATTCGTCACATTCTCTGGTCTTTTTAATTGCCCTGGCATCTGCTTGGCTTCCTCGTTGTCTCACCCCCACCTCCCTCTCTGCTCCTCCTCCTTTTCCTCCCAGGGATCATGCTCTCGGGTCAGACTGCTGGCATTTAGGGTCGCAGAGTAATCATGGGCGTGGAGATAATGCACAGTCCACCCTGGAGTTAAGAAAACAGCTTACACTCCATGTTTGCCCCCCCACCCGAACACACACAGACACAGACACACACACACACACCCTTCTTCTTTTCCCTCCCTCTCCTCCTTTTCTCTTCACCTTCAGGCTCCCTCTTTTCCTGCAGTAATGGTTTCAGTGGCCTCCTGATTTGCGAGTCTATTCTTGTTTAGCCTCTTAGTAAAGAGGACACAAAGGCCATGCCACTTTTAGCAGGCAAGCGAGGAGTCCATGCATGCGCTACAGGAAGATGTGAAGCTGCATTGGCTGCCAAACTACATGTTATGTAGCTAATGAACAGTGTAAAAAGAGGTGTGCAAAGTTTATCATTAGAACATTTTGCAAAAATTTCTACTGCAAGTTGAAAAACCGCTCTGGTGCATGCGAGCTGAATAAAAAGAAACATATTTTCTTGCTCACGTTCGTTGCATGAAGCCGTTCAGACATTTAGTTTTGGTTTGATTTGTCTAAGTTCAGAGGTAACTGCTTATTCGCAAGAGAAAGAAAATTGAAAGCTGTTGACAGTAACTGTGCTCCTATCTACATGATTTATGCACATGTCAAGCGCTTGAAAAATTCTTGAATGAAAGTCCAAACAAATCCCCACAACTATATTGCAAGATGTTTTTGTATCAATTGCTAAAAAAATATACAGGGAATGTACAGTACAGTAAACAGTAATGTACCGTCTTTTGTAAATACAGTTTGGTACTTTAAATGCTAATACCTTTCAGGAAAAAATATTGATTCATATCAATATATAAATATTAATACCCTATTTTCTCATTTTTAGTTAAGTCAGACTTGAGTCTCACTGTGATGCTTTAGTACGCCCACAACTTAACTCTTAAACGCACATAGTCAGAATAAAGAAATTAAAAAGAAAGAGTAGCGACGTGAGTTGAAATTGTAGCAACTCAAGGTAGTGGTAGCTTGGGTTATTTACACAGGCAAGTTCAAAGACTCATGGGAATGTACATGCTTAGGCTCAAATCATTAATTATGTAGTGCTGTGATGTTTATTTTAGCTATTTTGCATTTAGACTTTAATTATTGTGGGTGTGTGATGTGGTTTCCAGCTTGTGTGTGGCTAAGTGTAATGTTAAGGTTTAACTAGCAGTGGACCACCATGATGACCAAGATTGCTGACTAAATCAAAGATGGACTCAGCCACTGTGATGTCACCCATTGATTTGGGGTTATTTGAACCCTCACTGTTAGTGTTTTGGCCATCACATTGTTATTGAGAGGAAAGGGTGGCCTGCTAAATTATCAGCTAATGCTTACAAGTTACATTTATAAACTGTAAGGCACAGACAAACACAGTATCGGTTAATTAGTGTTGCATAACAGACTAATAAAGTAGAATGTAACTCCTCAAAGCTAAGGCACAACTTCCTTGGACATATAACTTGATCCAAAATGCACCAACAGCACGAACATGGCAGAAAGATCCAGTGAAGGGACAATATTTAGCAGAGGTAAGACTCCGAAGACACCAGTGGGTACAGCTCCACCTGCCATCTATGTGGATGACTGGATGGCACACCCCTTTACCACCCTTCATAGCAACCCCAAGTTGCTATTAAGATATGAACTATCAATAAGGCCAAAACTGCTATGTATTCGGCTATAAAAAATGTGCTTTGAGTTGTAAAGTTGGGTATTTTCATTTTTGGGACTCTGTGGAGCCGGACTTGGCCCAAGTTGCCAATACACAACTGCAGTTTTTGGCACTTACACACCAGCCTCACTTTTCAGCCTTTGACGTTCTTCCTTGGTAGTGATGAGTCATGTCCATTCAGCGTGCATCTTCAGGGTGTTAAATACAGGAGCTTTTGGATAACCGTGTGGTGAATAAAGAGAATGAAAATGTAAAGAAACTGATTTCATTACATTGGTGAGGGTACAGAGACATTTTCCATTCTTATGGTGATTACAGAAGGTACATTAAACATTATAATGGCAACCAAACAAGTGACTTTGTTTGTAAAATCTATATTATGCAGCACAGTAGTGTCATATTTTTTACTATATGAAAGTGTTGTTTTACATTTCAGTAGGTACGCTGTAAAATAAGTATAGTGTATTTATTACTCTATGCAAACTGTAATGCTGCTCTCCATCAGTATGGGGTGATGTGTATTTGCTTTTCTGTATTTTATTGTCATTTATCATCCTAAAGTGGAATCCAACTAGCTTTACTGTCATTTAAAAAGGACACTTTTTAAATGACAGTAATGATAAGTGGAAAAGATGTGATGATAAAAAAAAAAGAAAAAAGTAATTTCTCTAAATTGCAATGGAAATACCTGAGCTGTTGCAAACTAACGAGGAAGCTTAAAGCATATCATATTTTTTATAAGTGGTGCACTTTTAATTTTTCATCTTGTTGCACCCTCTCCTGCCATTGTTGAACAGCATTTAATTGGAGAATACTTCCAATCAACTGTTTGTCATTCATATATATATATA